GTTATGTAGTTATTTTAATGTATATTCCAAATAAACAAGCATATCAAATATGATACTTCATTGATAAAGTTACTTTAAAAACATCATAACAAAATGTTACATAAAAATCTAAGTCCAGACTGGGCTCAGTGGCTCATGCCTGTAATCTCAGCACTTTGGGAGGCTGAGATGGGTAGATCACAAGGTCAAGATATCAAGACCATCCTGGCCAACATGGTGAAACCCCGTCTCTACTAAAAATATAAAAATTAGCTGGGCGTGGTGGCACACACCTATAGTCCCAGCTACTCAGGAGGCTGAGACAGGAGAATCACTTGAACCCAGGAGGTGGAGGTTGCAGTGAGCCGAGATTGTGCCACTGCACTCCAGCCTGGGTGACAGAACAAGACTCTGTCTCAAAAAAAAAAAAAGTAAGCTTGGTAATGTGCAGTATGAAGCTGTGAAGGTAGTGCACATCCTTCTCTGTCCTCATTTTATCTCCAGCACCCAACACAATCTTCACACTCAGATCTTGTCTAAATGAGTGAATGAAACAAGCCCTGGGCCAGCCCCATTGGCATCACCACTCTCCAGAATATCTTGGAAAAGAGGATCAACAGTGGGTGGAGTGAAGGAGTCGTTTTGTCTGAACTTTGTTTTTCAGATGAGAAAATTGGAAGCCAGAGATAAAAAGAGGACTTCTTCAAGGTTCCTCAGCAAGCTCATGGCCAGTTCAGTTGGACCCAATCTTGTTCTTTCTCTCTCTTTTTTTTTTTTTTTGAGATGGAGTTGGACTCTGTCACCCAGGGTGGAGTGCCATGGTGCTATCTTGGCTCAGTGCAACCTCTGCCTTCTGGGTTCTAACTATTCTCCTGCCTTAGCCTCCCAAGTAGCTGGAATTACAGGTGCGCACCCCAGGCCTGGCTAATTTTTGTATTTTTATTAGAGACGGGGTTTCGTCTTGTTGGTCAGGCTGTTCTTGAACTCGTGACCTCAGGTGATCCACCCACCTCAGCCTCCCAAAGTGCTGGGATTACAGGCATCAACCTCCATGTCTGACTGTGTTCTCCTTTCTTATCACTGAGATCAGCCGTGTTGCCATATAGGACTCAGTTCCAGGGCAGGACCCTTTGCTTCTCCTTCCTGGAAGCCCCTGTCTTTCGGCTCATGCAAGGCCTCCGCCAGGGCCTGGTCTGGAGGCAGCACTCCCAGCAGCAGCCTGAACCCTGGCTGAGTGCACTGGGGCTCCCGGGCACAGACTCTCCAATCTTCCAGGCCCCTGGGGCTCCGGATTTTCTCTTTTCATCAATAGAGGTTAAGGATGTGTCCAGGGCCACACAGCTAGCCAGTCGGAACCAGGTCAGAATTGGGTGTTCTTTTCAGTGTACTCCACCACCTCCCCACGTGGGCGACTGGTGGAGTGGGCAGAAATGGGCACTCTGGCAAGGTAATGAGCTCCCCATCCCTGAGTGTTCAAGAAAAAGGTGAATATCCCTTCATAATCCCCTGGAGCTATGACACAGGAGATTTGGCGTAAGGTGGTTCCAGCCAAGGGCAGCACTGGAGGTTTGATGTCTGAGTCGCGGAAGACCTTTGCTCTTGGGATTTCCAGCTTGTGAGCTGCTTCATAGGCTGGGCCCAAGGGGCTGAGTTACTGCCCGGGCCCAGCACACTGACACCTCCAGCAGAGAGCTCTCAGGGAAACATGCTGGGAGCTATTTCCATTTTTTGTATTTGCTGTCTTTGACTTTGCCCAATAGCTCAGTTCCTGGGAGATCTGTGGAGGATGTATGTGTTGAGGGTTCTAGGGTGAGCTGAAGGCCACGATCCTCGAGCTAGACCCTGTAGAAAGCCTTGGATTCAGCCAAGGCCAGGATATTGCCTAGGGGCTGCTGGGAGCGTGCCATCCTGGGACGCTTCCACAGATTGGCCACTAGAGGGAGCCCGCTCTCAGCTGCACCCCAGAAGTGATACCTGGAGGGCATCCGAGGTTGGCCCATGATGGAGCAGGTGGGATATCAAGATGGGCCAGGGTAATGTCTCTCAAACTTGTTAACTGAAATCTTATATGGGGCGTCACATTCCAGGGACAATTCGCAGGGAAAAGTTTGGGATGGAGGGGAAGGAGCAGCCTAGAGAGGAAATCTGTCCATTTGTACACAGACTTCTGCCCAGCTCCTCTCCACCCCTATGTTCTTGGCACTGGGCTAGGAGGGAAGCCATGGACCAGACCCAAGGAGGGGGAGTGGAGAGCAACACGATGGTCAGGGAAGAGAGGAGGTGCGCAGTGGCTGTGTGCGCACACTCGTGCATGGGTGCCCGGATGAGCCTCTGTCCCTGCCCTGGAGAGGAGTGCAGCCTGATGGGTGGGCTGCACCTCGAGCTGCCGCATGTCCCCTAGAAGGGGCTGCCTGCCCTAATCCCACTTGCCTCTGCATCAAGAAGCACAGCGTCGCCATTAACAGTCACGCACAAGAGCGCAGGGGAAAACGCCTAACAGTTAGTGAGAAACATATGTTCAAGAGTAAGTACAGTAGGACTGCATTTTCAAAAATGCGTATATACATACAAAATGTCCTTATACGATTAATGATGCTGAATTTTTGGCTTTGGAATCCAAATGATTTTTATTGTTAAGAATTTTCCCTCTGAATTTGTGTGTAAATGCACTGCATTTGTAAAAGGAAAATACACCGACAAGAAGTGTTTGCTTTTCAAGCATGAGAGACGGCCCACCCTGGCTCAGGAGTGCAGCTTCTGCCTCAGGCTCCTGCGCCCCTGCAGCAGCTGTTGGAGGCCTGCTTCCTGTCTCATGCTGCCCCTGAGGGTCTAGTGATGGTGGACAGACCCCGAACTGGGGTTCCTAACCCCCCTCTCTAAGACATGCCAGTGTCTTCAGCCCCTTGTTGCCTGCATTCTTCTCACTGTACACGTCCCTCCCTACCTCCTGATCTCCAGAGGAGCTGGGCTGAGAGGTGAGCAACAGTAGATTCCTTCGGATCTCACTTCAAATCCTGACTGTGGTGCCAGCTGCTGCTGCTTCTACTAAACACCAAAAACCTGACAATTGGCTGCTTCTCTAACCAGGTGGCAGTTGCTGGGATCAGTTGTATACTACCATGAAACCCCCTGTCATCTCACTCCCAAACCCAAATCCAGTGCGTAACCAAGAGACATTGCTCTACACTGACGTGCACCTCTGGAAGCTACTTGAACAGCCAAAGATGCTCTTAACCACATGCATACGTGGATGCGATTGCAAATGAGGACACCAGCAGGTGGGTACAAACACAAGGGCCATGTTTGCACCCACAGACACAGAAGCAGACACACACACCTATGCATACATGATCACATGTGCACACGTATACACGTGGCGCTCAAGCACGTGCACAGGCAGAATGTTGGTTATGGACTAGTGCATCCAGTTACCCAATTCTAGAGATGTTTGTTGAGCACTTTTTTTTCTTTTGAGACAGTTTCACTCTTGTTGCCCAGGCTAGAGTGCATGGCAGGATCTCAGCTCACTGCAACCTCTGCCTCCCAGGTTCAAGCAATTTTTCTGCCTCAGCCTCCTGAGTAGCTAGGGTCATAGGCATGCACCACCATGCCTGGCTAATTTTGTATTTTTAGTAGAGATGGAATGTCTCCGTGTTGGTCAAGCTGGTCTTGAACTCCTGACTTCGGGTCATCCACCTGCCTCAGCCTCCCAAAGTGCTGAAATTACAGGCGTGAGCTAAGCTACCGCGCCCAGCCCTACTGAGCACTTTCTAAAGTCCAAGTTTGGTTGCTGGGCTCTGGTGATGCAGAGATGGGTAAACCACCCACAGAACATTCCACAGTGATCAGCTTCTCTGCAAAGCAGAATATGGTGTTGGGAGGGGCGGAATCACAGGATTTGAGAGCTGAGTGGGAGATAAATTCAGGGTTACCTTCCATTTACAGAATGTTTCATAGTTTCTAGATCACAGCCACTGGAGGCCGCACAGCTGCTTTCCTGCTTTAAGGTGTCTGTGACTTAGGAGAGGCTGGTCTTGGGTCTTACAAGCTATACTGCCTCTGGGTTCCTAGTACTGTAACTAGGGATTTCTGTGATCCCTGGGGTGGCGGTCCAGGCCTTTGATGGACCCGTGGTGACCCATGTGACCCTGACCCATGTGGCCTCCACCTTCCCACCCCCACCCCCTAGTTCTGGGTATGGGCTTCACAGGGCACGTTGCTGAGGACACTGTAAGATTGAACTCAGGGCTGGGCGTGGTGGCTCACACCTGAAATTCCAGCATTTTGGGAGGCTGAGGGGGCAGATCACCTGGGGTTAGGAGTTCAAGACCAGCTTGGCCAACATGGTGAAACCCCATCTGTACTAAAAAGACAACAATTCACCAGGTGTGGTGGTGGGTACCTGTAATCCCAGCTGCTCAGGAGGCTGAGGCATGAGAATTGCTTGAACCTGGTGAACGCAAGAGGTGGAGGTTGCAGTGAGAGGAGGTCACACCACTGCACTCCAGCCTGGCCCATAGAGTGAGATTCCATCAAAAAAAAAAAAATTCCACTCTGGATGCCAGCTGGACAGCTCTCGGTCTTGTCCTTGACTTTTAGGCAGTTCTTAGCTCCCAGAGAGAGCAGCATTAAAAATCATCAACAAAGTACCTCATTAGGCATAGTTTTAATAACACAGAACACTCCATTTTTATTGAAATATTTTTGTCAAAACACTGATAGTTAGAAAAAGCTAGAAATAGAGCACCCCAGAATGCCAGAGCTGGGAGGGATCTGAGGAGCTTCCAGTCTAATCTCATTTTACAGATGAGGCCTGAGGATTTGGGGTTGATTCTCACTGAAGCTCTGTCCTGGGCTGCCCCAGGTGCTGTGAGGAACAGGAGCGGAAACACATGGCACCCACCTTGGTCTCTGAGATGCCATCTCTCACAGCCTGTCCTCATCAGCCAGGGCCTGAGCTGAAACCTGCCCTGGAACAGGAAGTGCTTGGAACCCTCACTACTGTCGCCGTGGTGCTCACAATCACCCAGGAAGCCAAAGGCAAGCTCCCCCTGCCAAAGCGCCTTGGCCCATAAGAAGGAAAGGGTGAGCCCCAGATGTGATGAGCGCTTCCAGGCTTCAGGCTCAGAAGGCACTCAGCCCCCAGCTCTCCTGTAACTCAGAGGCCAGTGTGATGGGAGCTTCTTCACTCAGCACACGTCGGCTGTAAACACACCTGTGCTGGGCGAAAGGGCTTTGGGACAGTAAGTACGATGGGTACTTTTCAGCCACTTCAGAGGCCAAGAAGGGTGTCCTAGTGACAGGTGCTGCTTCGACTTGGGTCTCTCTGGAGGGAGTTTGGGGAGTCAGGAGGGGTCTGGGAGCCAAGAAACCATTGTGGGTAGCTCCTGCCCACCACAAGGACCTAGACACAGACTCTCAAAATGCATGAAGGGAGCAGGGTGTGGTGGCTCACGCCTGTAATCCCAAAACTTTGGGAGTCCAAGGTGGGTGGATCATGAGGTCAGAAGTTCAAGACCAGCCAGGCCAACACGATGAAACCCCCGTCTCTACCAAAAATATAAAAAATTAACCAAGTATAGAGGCATGCACCTGTAATCCCAGCTACTCAGGAGGCTGAGGCAGGAGAATTGCTTGAACTCAGGTGGCGGAGGTTGCAGTGAGCCGAGATTGTGCCACTGCACTCCAGCCTGGGCAACAGTGAGCCTTCGTCTTAAAAACAAAAACAAAACGTATGAAGGGGCAGATTGCCTGGTGGGATGAAAAAAGAACAAACCCATTTCCAGGCCACTGAAATGTCCCTGGATTTCAAGATCAGCTACAAAAGTTCTTGGGTATTGATTGAAAGCCGGAGTTTTGGGTAGCTGAGTACAAACCCCAGCCTGCCTCTCTCTGTAACTGAAGCGGTGACCCATGGGCATGGCGAGCCTGTCTCTGTGGGATTTATTCTGTGCCAACCGGGTCACCTTTAGAATGGAACCCTCTTCTCTCTTCTCAGATTCCTTTAGGCCACTTTGAGGATTTGGGGTCTGCCTAGGGCAGTGGGAAGCTGATGAAGGATTCTAAGCTAAGGAGTTCATCATTCTGGCTCCTATAAGGTAAAGCAATCAGAAAAGCATGTATGTGTTACCTGAGGTGGGAGAAGCCTCCTCATGCAAGGTGGGAACTCAGCCATCAAGGAAAACACACATTGCTCTGAACTGAAATGCACCTCTGGAAGCTACTTGAACAGCCAAAGATGCTCTTACCACACATGCATACACAGATGCAATTGCCAATTAGGACGCCAGCAGGTGGGTACAGACACCAGGGTCATGTTTGTACCCAGACACCACGTTTTCTTTTTCTTTTTTTTCCTTTTTTTGTTTTTTAGTTGTTTGAGATGGAGTTTCACTCTTCTTGCCCAGGCTTGAGAGCAGTGGTACCAGCTCAGCTCACTGAAACCTCCACCTCCCAGGTTCAAGCAATTCTCCTGCCTCAGCGTCCCAGGGAGGTGGGATTACAGGCATGTGCCACTGCATCCGACTAATTTTGTATTTTTAGTACAGACAGGGTTTCATGTTGGTCAGGCTGGTCTTGAACTCCTGACCTCAGGTGATCTACCCACTTCTGCCTCCCAAATGCTGGGGTTACAAGCGTGAGCCACTGCAACTGGCCCCTAGATATGTTTTCAAGTTAGAGATTGGCAAAGGAATTACACATGACACATTTTCATACCTAATAAAACAATCTGTTTACCATAAACAAAGTCAAAAGACAAATGATTCACTTTTGCAACATGTATGGCAGACAGAATATTAGTGTCCATGGAACATAGAGAACTCCTAAAAAAACGCTAAGGTAACTACGGAAACCCAGGAGAAAAAATGTGAAAGGCCTGTGATCAGGCAGTTTGCAGAAAAGAAAAATTAAAGGGCCGATAAGTATATGAAAGAATGCTCATCCTGACAGGTAGCCAGGAAAGTTCAGATTAAAACAATAATCTGAAACCATCTCGCACTCACCAGCTTGGCAAAAATAAATACGATGATGCTACCTAGTCCTGGAGATGTTGTAAAAAAAAAAAAAAAAAACACTTGTAAATTGATGATAGGAGTGTTCATTGCTGCAATTTTGGGGCAAGTGAGTTGGTATTAACTATTTCAACTGAAGATAAATATTTCTGACATAACTATGCCACTTGAAGACTATTTCGTAGAATTAAAAGCAGTAACACGAAGATACATGTATATACACACACATACACACATACATTTAGATGCAGATATAGGCAACATATGCAGACACGTGTATGCACACACGTACACAAACTGCCCTAATGTGTATGCATATTGTTCCCATTGTTTGGTAATAAAATATGGGAAACAACCTGAATGACTATTGGCAGAGGAATATTTTAATAATAACGTATCCACTGTTGGAAATGTTATGGGGCCAGGCACAGTGGCTCATGCCTATAATCTTGACACTTTGGGAGGCCAAGGCAAGAGGATCGCTTGATGTCAGGAGTTCAAGACCAGTCTGGGCAACCCTGGCTCTAGAAAAATTAAAAAATTAGCCAGGTGTCGCTGATGCCTGTAATGCCAGCTACTCAGGAGGCTGTAGTGGGAAGATAACTCGAGCCCAGGAGATTGAGGCTGTAGTGAGCCTTTATCACACCACTGTGCTCCAGCCTGGGCAACAGAGCAAGACCCTATCTCCCCCAAAAAAGAAAAAGTAATACTGTGCAGCTTTGTTAATTTTTTCTTGTTCTGTCATTGCATTGGTTTGCTCATTACAAGCATGTATTATTAATATTTTTGCAATTAAGAAGTCCAATTAAGGTAATTAAAAGGAAAAGAAACGCCTGTCTGCCCAGGTGGAATGCAAATTCCCAGACGTGCGTTTTGCTCACTGCCGTCTCAGAAACGGCTGACACCTTGTTCCATGCGGCAACTGCACAGGAAACGCTTCTTGGTGGATGGAGGAACCGTAGCCTGGCTGTGATGCGGGTGAAGTGCTGTTTGGGGAGCAAAGGGGAGGTCATCTGAGGTTCTTGGTCATCAAGTGCCATGGATTCTGCTGGTTTTACTAGCTTGCCCCCTTCTTCACTTCTCTGATGTGGCTCTGGGGAACTACCCAGTCCTCAGTGCATGGTCTTGTTGGGAGAATTAGTCAAGGTGTCTACCCTCAGGGGTGAAAGAGTGGGCCACTGAGCTAAGCCAGGGCAGTTGGGGCCTCTTGTTGAGAATCTGGGTTGAGCAGAACCCTGCATAGATGGACTGTGGGAGAGCCGACCCGTGCTAAAGGCAGCGTCTGACAACAGCCACCAGCTGCTGGTGTGAGCCATGCAGATCCCTGCAGCTGCTTCCTCTTCTTTCCAGAAAGTTCTCCAGTTTCCTTTTCAGTCTATGAGACCCTCCTCCCATCACCATCCTTCCAATCAATCTTAACCTCCCCTAACCCCATAATCAAATGGGTTTCTATTGCTTGTAAACCAGCTGCCCTGAGAATGTTCAGAGACAGCTGGAAAGTCCTTCCACTCTTCCTCTTTCAGGGCTCTGGAAGCTAGGGTGACCATCAGTCTACTGGGCTCCAGGACAGCCCTGGTCTACAGCCATTGTCCAGGCCTGATTATTAATATCACCCCTTTACTCTCCTGGTCTGAATGATCAATTATGTGATCAGCCTACTGGCTATCTTTTGGTCTTCCTCACATTGGCAAAGGATTATCTTCTGTTTTTCTTTATCTGAGCCACTTTCCCAGAATAACAGCAGGGATCTGTCTACTAATGTGCTTACGAACAACAACAAGATATTCTCTTGACGGATAAATAACCCACATCAGAGGCTTATTCATTATTGTTCCTGTGGCAAAATACATATTCTTTAGGCCAGTCTCCTCTGTAATATTTTGAAGAAATTCCTTGGAAAAGCATGGAGAATTTCACCTTTACCTCTTTTGTCTTCTAGGTTGCTTATCTTTCTCTCCCGTGTAATCTCCACTCTCATTCGTGATAATGTCGAACGTGGTAAGTAGATCGTTTTCTCAAAAAGGTAGGTGATGAGAGGAAGCACTTGGTTATGGTCATTTGGACCAATTTCCACAAGGGGCTGGGTCCTGCACCACCGAGGGCCTCAAGCGTATTGGCTGATTTGGCTGGAAAGAGTGCGTCCAGGCAGTGCCATCCAGAGAGCAGAGAGTAGGCTTGTGGTCTGAGCTGACGATGTTTACTTCTCATGTGACAGCAGGACTATGTATAGACTCAGATTCCACAGCCTTTAGTCACCCACCATCTTCTCGGCCCTATACTAAGGCATATTTCCCAAACTTTATTCTATTTCATACTTTTCACCACACTGGAAACAAGATGATATCCCCACAATCCCCACCGTGGCCATCCTCACCATCTTTGTCACAATTGCCATTACTGTCACCACCACCACCCATTATTCCCATTTTACACATGAGACCTGAAAGCCTCAAAATGTTAAATAACTTGCTCAAAGTCACACAAGCAGAAAGTAGCAGTAACAAGATTTGAACTCAAATCCTCTGGTCCATGGCCCTTGGTCTTGCCACCTCTCCATTGGTGCCACGGGTGGCTTGGGATCAAAGACATCCATTTCTGTGGGTCCCTCCTGGTGCTTTTTTCCTGGCTAGGTTGCATCAAGCCTTCAGGCTAAGGTTTATATCCATGCTGGGTATCGTCCTTCTCCCTTAAGGAAATTGCTGAATTTCCCCTGGAGCCTCAAGAAAATGTCTAAGTAAAAGTCCCTGCCCAAAGACTCAGCAGTTCCACTCCTAGGTATATAACCAAAAGAATAAAAAGACAGGTGTTCAAAGAAAAACTTGTCCATGAATCGTCACCGTGTTCTTCACAAGAGCCAAAAGGTATGAACAACCCAGGTACCCATCAACTAATGAAGGAACAAACAAAGTGTGGAATATTTACACAATAGAATATTATTTAGCCTTAAAAAGGAATGAAGTACCAGCACACAGATGAACCTTGGAAACGTTATGTGAAAGATGCCATTCACAAACGGCCACATACTGTGTGATTCCACTTATATACAATACCCAGAACAGGCAAAAGTGTGAAATCAGAACTTAGGCACTAATCTTAGAAAGCAGATTAGTGGTTGTCAGGGGCTGGGGATGGGGGACCAGTGAGTGACAGTTTCATAGGCATGGAATTTCTTTGGGGGGTAATGAGAATGTTCTGGAATTAGATAGTGGTAATGGTTGCATAACATTGTAAGTGTACTAATTGCCACCAAATTGTATACTGTAAGACAGATCAAATTTTATGTTTTATGTGTTTTACCACTGTTAAAAAATTCTTTGCCCAAGATCTCCATAGTTTCATATCTCTCTGTATGACAATTTAGGGTAAGTACTCAAAGAACAGTGCTTAAAGCATAATGCTATCCCTGCTTGTGGATTCTCCAGAGAGTTACCTGCAAAAAACAACCTTTCTCTCTGACCTCTCGCCGCTGACTCCCCTTGTCCTAGATCTTAAATTCCAAATTATTTTATAGCTTGAGACCCTTGGGCAGTGGAATACATCGTCTTTGGCTTGAGAAGATATCTCGTGAGAAATATTAGCCATGTTCAAAAATTAGCCAGCACTGTAAAATTTGTCTTGTTTTCCTTTCTCCTCTACAATTTGGAAAATCTGGCATTCATGTGAGGTTAGAAAAAGATGTCTTCTCTTCCTTTGATGACCAAGCAGCACAAAGCTCAGCTGGAACGCCGGATCGCTGGCTCAACCAACCGGTGGCGTTTCCCCAAACAGCCTTTTTCTGGGGACCTGCTCTCACTTTCCCAGAAGTGCAAGGCTCTGAGTGTAGACTTTGAGGAAGCTCTGAGGAACCCAGACAGGTAGGGAGACTCGAAGGTTTGTGGCACGGAATGGCCCATCATTCCTGGGGGGGAAGGTGCCTAATGGTTGGGCCACTCTGATTGGCTGGAGTGGCTGTCACAGGCACATCAGTAAGGAAGGCTCACTCTGGAGCCAGCGTTAGGTATGGACAGGGTCATAGTGACTACTTCCTCTGTGAATTTCTGTGGGTGGTGACGAAAGCACAGAGAAAGACTGAAGTTTGTTTTGTTTTTTTTAACAGTTTTTCTTTCCATGGGAACGTTGAACCCAAACAGGATTCTGAGTTTATCATTCAGGAGCCAGTTGATTTCTTGACAAACAAAACCTAGTTAGTCCTGGCTTAGTGTTTAGACAGCTTATGGGGGATGCCCAGTTTCACCCAATCAGTGGATCCTCTCTCAATCTCATGGTATTCCGAGCAGTAGGCTGGACCCTCACTTCCCATGTGATGAGTTCTCTCTTGCCTGTCCTGGAAACACAGAGCTAGACCCTTGCCTTAGTCTGTTTGTGTTGCTGTAAATAAATACCGAAGGCCCAGAAATGTATAAAGAAAAGAGATTTATTTGGCTCAAGGTTCTGCAGGCTGTACAAGAAGCATGGCGCCAGCATCTACTCAGCTTCTGGTGAGGGCCTCAGGCGGCTTATACTCATGGTGGAGGGTGAAGAGTAGCCAGGTGTGCAGAGGTCACATGGCAAGTGAGGAAGCCAGAGAGAGGAGAGAGGGGAGGTTCTGGGCTCTTGTTAACAATGAACTCTTTGGGAACTGAGAGAGTGAGAACTCACCCCTGAACGAGGGTGTATCCGCCCTTATGACCAAAATATCTCCCATTAGGCCTCACCTCCAACATTGGGGATCAGATTTCTACATGAGATTTGGAGGAAACAAATGTGCAATTTGTAGCAACCCTACTGCAGAAGGCAAACCTCATTTTGCTGGGGCATGGACCTGGCTTGATGCCACTGCTGTCCCTAGGCTGGCAGCCTCTGTATTGTGAGCTCACAGCCAAATTGAAGTGAGCATGGACTGCACTCCTGGGGCAGCACCCAGCACAGAAGAACTGCTTGCTCAGTCTTTGCTCAGCGAGCAGCCAAATCTTTCCTCTCTAGGTCCACTGGCCAGCCCTGTTCCATTGCCCAGTTCCTTAGTGTTAGGGATGCAGGTGCTGGAGCTATGCCTGGGCCTAGCGGCAGAGTGATCCTGAAGCTGATGAGCGGGTCTGGGCAGCAAGAACTAAGTCTTCAGGAGTCACTGAGCTAAAGTGGAAGCGGCGGCCTGAGGGGTGGGGTGCAGAAACGACATTTGGTGCTGAGCATTTGGACTGTTAAAAGCAGTCTATCAACAGGGATGGAATCCCCACTTCTTCACCTACTACTTCTGTGACCTTTAGTCAGTGGCTAAGCCTCTTTGGGCCTCAGTTTCCTCATCTTTAAAATGGTTATACAGCACCTTCTTCAAGATGAAGAGTCCTCTTGAGGATTGAATGAAGCCATGTATTGAAAATGCTTAGCACTGTTTCTAGCAAGTAGTGGATGCTTAATAAGCAGAAGTTTTTTACTGCCTGAGTAGCATGTTAATAGTTGATCCCAGTGATTTTATTTTGGGGTATCTCAGCTCCGTGCTCTGCCAGCCAATACCCCCATTATTTCATTCTGCCTCCTTGCACCTTCCCAAGTTCCTTCCCCCAGGACAACACCTTCCTCCAGCACAACAGCAGGGGCAGAGGAACCGGTGTTCCCGGGAGGTTTTACACATGTGGCCCGCTCCTATGTGATGTTGGGGAGCTGCATGTTCAGAGGCAGCAGATACTCTCGGGTGTTCTGGGCGAGTCTACACCCATGCATCTGGTGCTCAGCTGATCCAGGCTCGGTTCTGCCTGGGCACTTGGGCTCTGTTCCCTGAGCCCCTTGTCCTCCTCCTGAGATGGCAGGCTAGCCTGGGCACATTGTGATGACAGCAGAGGGCACAAGGGTAAGCCGAGGAGCACACGTGTGTTTTAAACCTTCCACCATTTCACATCCACTAGCATCCCATGAACTGAGGCAAGTCACATGGCCAAATTCACAGTCAAGGGACAGAAAACACTTACTCTATCTCCTTATGGAGAGATACTTTGCAATACAAATGCAAAAGGTGTGGACACAGGGTGGGATGAAGAATTGGAGTCACTGGTACAGTCTACTGAGTGTGGGAGAAACTGATTTTCTGTAATAAACACAAACTTGTCTGGGGATGGTGGCTCATACTTGTAACCCTAGTGCTCTGGGAGGCCAAGGTGGGAGGATTGCTTTTGGACAGGAATTTGAGATCAGCATGGGGCAACATGGTGAGACCCTGTCTCTACAAAATATTTTAAAATTAGCCAGGCATGGTGGCACACACTTGTAGTCCCAGCTAGTTGGGAAACTGAGGTGGGAGGATTACTTGAGTCGAGGAGGTTAAGGCTGCATGCAGTGAGCTATGGATTACTCCGTTTCACTCCAGCCTGGGAGAGAGAGCGAGACATTGTCTCTAAAAATAAAAAAGAGAGAAAGAGAAACACACACACACACATACAAATACACACACACACCTTTTCTTTGTCTTCACAATAGGAATTTATTCCATGTGATTGTGAGAAACATCTTAGAATAAAGGTTGTGTTTAATTTAGATAACAACATGAAGGGCTTTTTCCTGGTAACTCTTGTAAACCTTCAGGCGTCAGGCAACTGTCAGAGGCAAACTCCACTGTCAGTAAGGGTCTGGAATGCCCCATGCCACATACGTTATGTCCCCCAAAGTGCTCCATGGCTGTTCCTGCCCCGCCCGGCAAGCTGTGTTTGTCGTGGATGCTGTCATTGCTGCTTTTCCCACCTGGGGGTGCTGTCTGCGTGGACGGGAGTTGGGACCAATCTTTATTTCTTGAGTTATGGAAATGGTCATTCATGGTGGAAAGCTGAGGGACCGGGCTCCCAGATTCCTGTCTGTTTCGGGTATGTCATTGTGCCCCGCTGGCCAGCACTTCATTCTATTGTGTCTGTGGGTTTTCATGATGCAGGGAGTTCCTGGTCAGCCAGTCAGAGGTACTGATCTTCAGGCAGCTGATCTTCTTGCCTTAGTCCTTTGGCAGGCGCTGGGGCACCGAGTGTGGGAGAGGAGGCTGAGAGGAGGACATGCTAACTTCCTTGCAGGCACCCTAATCTTTTCATGCCTTAGTTTATGTGCAAATCGGGGATGCTGTCTTACAGGGTTGCTGTGAGAAACTTATGATGTAATTCATGTAAGGAGCTTAGAAAAGTGGCACATAAACGCTCAATGCACATGTGTCAAGTGCATCAATGGGCTCCACTGGCGTATATGGATGCATGCTGTCATGGAAACCCAGAGATCCAGCATGGGAGGTGTGACTCAGGCCAGACTGGGGAGGGGGTACCCCAACAAAGGCGTAGGGGATTATGACCCTGGGAAAGACCCAGAGCCCTCCCTGTCCCCAGCTGGTAAAGTGCCTGGTGGTTTTCCCCATTTCTGCCCACAAAGCCAAGTCCATTCTAAGGGTGGGAGGAAGTCATGCTTAAGAGGTGAGGGTGGGAAGAAGGGACCAGTATATTTTATTTTATTTTTAATCAGAAAGCAGTTCTGGGAGAGTGAGACTACAGACCAATGACCCATTTATAGAAGTGTTAACCTAAATAACAAACAGAGAGGAGAGGAAGGCTCTCTAAAGAAGCTGATGTTTATTCTGGAACAGGCATTGCAGTGGAATACCGGTGCCACTGTAAGCTGTGTGTGTTCAGGGACGTAAAGAAAAATCAAGGGTTTTGTTCGTTTGTTTTGTTTTGAGAACGGTCTTGCTTCGTTGCCCAGGCTGGAGTGCAGTAATACAATCACAGCTCACTGAGGCCTCAACCTCCCAGACTCAATTGATCCTCCTGCCTCAGCCTCCCAAGTAACTAGGACCACAGATATTGCCACCACATGCTAAATTTTTTATTTACTATGTTGTAGAGACGGAGTCTCTCTGTGTTGCCCAGGCTGGTCTCAAACTCCCAGGCTCAAGTGATGCTCCTGCTCAGCCTCCCAAAGTATTGGGATTAGAGGCATGAGCCACCGTGCCTGGCAAGACAAAGGTTTTTAAAGGAACAGTGAGGAGGATTACCTCAATGCTCTGGGATAATTATCCTTTGCTACAAGGATCCATGGCAAGGGTGACACCAGTTCGAGTTGCCAGGCAGATGCCCTCCCAGGACTTTTGTGTGTGAGGTTGTGATGGCCTTTGTGTACTGTTGTAGGTTTTGCAGAGTCTTTTGTGATAGTTCTTATGATCAGGAATTCACAAGTGAGAATTCTCCCTTCTTGGCCTTCCCCACCTCTATTTGTTGGGTGGGGTTCTTTTTGTTTTTTTTGTTTTTTGTTTTTTTTTTTAAAGAGATTTAGAGACAAGGTCTCACTCAGTTGCCCAGGCTAGAACACGATGGCCATTCACAGGCATAATCACAGCTCACTGCAGCCTCGAACTCCTGGACTGAAGCAGTCCTCCTGCCTCAGCCTTGCGAGGAGGGGCTATGGGAACATGCTGCCATGGCAGGCTCCATCAGGGTTTCTAACATGTCATAATTCCATTTTTATTTTGACACCTTTCCCAGCGATAATGAAAGGGAGAATGGATGAGAGGGGGAATGAATGAAAGGGAGAATGCTAACTGAATGCATGTCTATGCCAGGCATTCCAAACACTCTCTCACTTCCCCCTTCCTCTGGGACCAAGAGGCAGAAAATGGAAGAACTGAGGTCCAGCCCAGGTCTATGTAATTCTTCCTAGTTAATCAAATTGGCATTTTGCCCTTTGGATAGTCCGTATGTCCATGAGAAACTTACTTCCCCTTCTTTCTGCCTTTCTCCATCATGGTCATGACTTGGGGGAGTGAGCTCCAGCCTAACAGCAGGTTCCCAGCATCCCCGCACCAGGCATTGCAAGGGGAGTTTATCTCAGACCACTTAGTCCCAAACAGTGAGACAACTCACAGATGCCATGTGTTCTGTTCATGTTTCCAGTCATCCTAAAATGAACCCTAGCCCTTGGGAACTGCAGAGCCTGCAGAATAAATAGTATGTCTTGAGAAGCAGCTCTCACACCCAGGAGGAGGCAGTGTGCTTGCCTCTGCTTCCTGGCATCCCTTGGCTCAGCCGATGACACTGATGTTTGTGTGGGTAGTTGAGTTCATGGACCTTGCGCCATATTTTCCAAAGTCTGTGGCTCCATTTTGAGATCACGGTCTGAACTCTTGACTCTGGCCAACCCTTTCCAGACGTGTCACCCAAGCCATGAGGGGGATCGAGGGAGGAAGCGAGGGTGGCTTGGGTCAGATCCCCACTGCTCCTGTTGAATAAACAAGTCCAGCTCCCACTGCCTGCCTGAGGCTGAGTCACTGGCAGCCATCCTCTCCCCTTGGAAAGGGCAGCACGTAGTTGGTAATTTTCTGTACACAGGCTCCCACCCATGCTTCCTGCAGGCACCCTGGCCCATGAGGTCTCCTGGGATTGTTGGAGACAGCATGGTGAAATTGACACGGCATGACACAGACCAGCTGTGGTCACAAGTGTCTCTTGGCTGGCTGGCTTTCTGGGATGACTGTCTTTAAGCCACGAATATGTGACTCAAATTTTGTTTCACTTCCTTGCTCAGCATGGTGAGTCCATGGTGTTTATGTTGTCATTGATTCGTTTAATGAATATTGATGGAGCACCTGCAGGATGGCTTGAGCCAGGGTCATAGTCTGTCTTGCAGAGGATGCACAAGTAAACACGCAGCCACAAGATACTCCAGAAGGAGTTTTAAGGGGGAAATTCCAGCATGGGCAGGGGTAAAGCCACTGGCCCAGCATCCCCAGAGAAAGCAGCAATGAAGTTTATCCTGAAGGATGAGTAGGATCTTGGCTAGGTGAAAGGCGAGGAGGAGAGCATTTGAGAGAGGGAGCAGTGCATGCAAGAGATGAAAGCAGCAGTTGGCAGGTCCAGGTGCAGGCTACTGAGAAGGGCTGGAGTGGGGACCGTTGAGGGACCAGGCTGCAGAGATACGCAGGAGCTGGTTAGCCATGCTAAGAAGTTTGGGCTTTCCCCCAAGAGCAATGGGGACACACTAGAGGATTCTCAGCAGGAGAGAGACAAGACCAAATTTGCATTCTGTGGGAGGCAGGCACCCGAGCAGAGCAGGGCTGGAGGCTTGGAGACTTTGGCAGTGACCAGAGGGAGATAACAGGGGCTTGAACGAAGGCTCTAGCAATAGCAACAAAGAGAGATGGACAAATTCAAAAGATCTAGGCAAGTGATGAGATGTAACAACACTCAGCTTGCTGGCTTGGGCAACTGCAGCGTGGTGGTGCCATTTCCTGAAATGAGAATCTGAGCAGGGTCGAATTAGGTGTAGATGCTAAGTTTAGTTTTTGGATACACTGAGAGTGGGACCTGTATGACCTCCGAGCAAAATCGTCGGTGAGTTAACATCCCAGAAATGAGCAGCCCCCTCTATTCTTTGCTCCCAGCAGAATATTTACTGAGTACCTCCTATATGCCAGATAATGTTTTAGACACTCTATGTTATCAGAGATGTCATTCAGGCAGCCAAGTATGACCTCAATACCTCCTCAGTAAGGCCTACCCACAAACTGAAAACAGGAGTCAGCGTTATGAGCCAGCGATCAAAAAGCCTACCGTTTTTCAGATCAGCAGACAAACGGTGACCTGAAGATACTCTTCCAAAGGCGTGGTAGGATTAGACTGACCAGTGTGTGCTTTAAGGAGGTTTAGGCTGGAATGACGCTGCTGTGGCCGGAAGAAAATGTCAGTCTAACTCCTGGGTTTCATGTCTGTATTTCCCTTGAGGTTATGCATTTCACAAATTCAGAAGCTTTTCTGTGGGAATTTGAAGGACGAGGACATCCAAAGTGGGGAGGCAGGTGAGTTTTTGTTATCTGTGGATTGAGCCAGAATGTTGCTGACTCCAGGGGCATCTTGTGGTCTTTATGGAAGAAAACCAGCCCATGAGCCAGGGTGCTAGTCTATAAGTTGCAATTCTTATCCACTTCCCAGCATCTAAGAAATAATAAGTGCCCTGGAATTACTTGTGAAATGTGCAGTGAGCGAAGCCACGCTTGGTAAACACATTGATGCTCCTAGCTGTGATCAAGACAAACGTGTTGATGTCAATAAATAGCCCACACCTGTAATCCCAGCAGGGAGGCCGAGGTGTGTGGATCACTTGAGGTCGGGAGTTTGAGACCAGCCTGGCCAATATGGTGAAACCCCATCTCTACTAAACACACAAAAATTAGCCAGGCATGGTAGCATACACCTGTAATCACAGCTACTTGGGAGCCTGAGGCAGGAGAATCGCTTGAACCCAGGAGGAGGAGGTTGCAGTGAGCTGGGATTGTGCCATTGCACTCCAGCATGGGCGTCAGAGCAAGACTCCCTCTCAAAAAAAAAGTAGCCTTTGAACTGAAAGACTAAACCGAGTGTAGCAAGCATAAAGCAGCTGTCTCTTCGGCTCTAACCGGCCATGACTTGGATGTTCACAGCTGTGCTTGTTCAAGAGGACTTTTCCGAGGTAAGATTAAGAATCAGGATAAGTCCTTCCAGCTAGAAAAAGGTTCATTGAGCCTCATGAGGAGGCTGGACAGTTTCTTAAAGCAGCTTTTTTTTTTTTTTTTTTTAATAAAGCCTACTGCATGGTGTGGCTGCCTGAGATCAGAGCCAGCCTCTTTTCCAAAGACAGGCTAATACATTTTTTCCCACCTTCAACTCTGAACAAGAAACGTAGTCTGAGACTATCTCCTTGCATGAGAGAAAGCTCTGAATTGATCAGTGACAGCTGCCATGCATTGACCGTTCTGAAAGTGGAATCTGACATCCAGTGAGTGAATACGCTGTGTCCACAATCCCGTTCCTGCCTACGATCACCCTAATGGGCTGAGACTTTCTAACTCAGCATAACCAGACCACCTAAGGTGATGCAAGATTTGAGATACAGCCCCCCTGAACTCCAGCACCAAACGCTATCATAACATTGGTGAATAACAATAATAATAAGAAGAAGAAAAATCAGGTACCCAAGGTCACACCGTGAAACTAATGGCAAAACCAAGAAATACATAGATGAGGCTAGTGACCCTTCGGATCCTGTCTGGCACTGAAATTGAGGGTCTTAGGCACGTCTCCTTCCCCCAGCTCTGTACTAACAACACAGGAGCTGAGCCATGCAGAGTCCTCTCCCCACAACCTCTTGAGCCTCCCCTGCCCTGCTATCCTCGGTTCTGCCCTCTGCCCTCCTATCAAAAAGCCCCCTTTTTTTGGTGATCATTGATTTTGTTCTCAGGATAACTGCCCCTGAAGAAAGTCTTCTGCAGTTTGCAAAGAGCCTTCTTTATATTGTCAAGGGAGGGTCACGAGAATCCTGCTTCTTTGGGGGGCCTGCTATTGCTTTTCAGATGGGTCGTGCTTTGGTACCCATAGCCCAGTAGTCCTCAACAGGGAATTGGTGGGTGATCTGGCTTCATGGGGGACACGTGGCCGTGTCTGGAAACATTTTTGGGTGTCACAGCTGGAGAGGGAGTGCTATGGGCATGCAGTAGGAAGATGCCAGGGCTGCTGCTGGGCATCCATGGTGCAAGGACAGCGCCCCAACAGACACGTATCTGGCCCCAAATGTTTACAGTGCTGGGGCTGAGAAATACTGTCATGGGGAAGCCAGAATAAGCCCCCCCCCAAAAGAGTCCCAGGCACCTTACTTCCCTGTTCCATGACCTTTCCTCATTCCCCACGTTGGAGGGCAGCGTGAGTGCCTCTGAAATCCTACAGCTGTTAGTTGACCGCTGTGTCATGTCCTGGGGGACCTTGTAAGACTGCTTCGGTGTCTCCCTCAAAGCCTTCCCCGAGGCCCATACTTCACCACTTCCTCTCTGAGATGCCGGTGGAAGCTGCTTCCCTGCTTCAGCTGCTTCCCAATGACCCACCTAGCAAAGGAGACGGGGGAGGAAGCTGACGAGTCTTTGAGTGGGCACGTTATTGATGCATTTGCTCAGCATCATTTTCCCTCCTCAGATGTGATTCTCGAGTGCCTGGGCTTCAAATGGGAACTCCATCAGCCCCAGCTTTTCCAGTCTCAGACCTTGGCCAAGCTCTATTTGGAAGCCCTGGCACAGGGCAGCACATCTCCCCTGAGGGAGCTGGAGAAGCTTCTGCAAGGTACTTCCTCCCTGGTGCCCAGTGCTGGAGCCCCGGTGCCCTCTATCTTGAGAGTCCCCAGCTGGGAACATGGTTATTATCTGTTTTGAGACCACAGTCACTCTAGCAGTCAAGAGCAAGGCTCCATGGTGTTATCTCATCCCATGACAGCCTCAGTTTCCTCAACTGTAAAATGGGGATAATAGTTCTTAGGATGCAGCTTTGAAGAGTAGAGGGGGTACTAGGTGTGAGGTTCTAGAACAAGGCCTGGCACACAGCAAGCACTCAGTACATGCCAGTTACTATCCTTGTAATGACCCGAGTCTCATCTGGCCAGCCCAGACATAGAGGCTCTACCTACTTCTTTGAGAAGAAAAACGGGCTGGGCACAGTGGCTCACACCTGTAATTCCAGTGCTTTGGGAGGCTGAGGTGGGTGGATCACCTAAGGTCAGGAGTTTGAGACCAGCCTGACCAATATGGTGAAACCCCGTTTCTACTAAAAATACAAAAATTAGCTGGGTGTGGTAGCAGACACCTGTAATCCCAGCTACTCAGGTGGCTGAGACAGGAGAATTGCTTGAACCCAGGAGGTGGAGGTCGCAGTGAGCTGAGATTGTGTCACTATACTCCAGTCCGGGTGACAAAACAATACTCTCTCCCCCGAAAAAAACGGGCTCTGTGGAAGGAAGGCAGGCTTCTGACATCTGCGCTTGTGTGGCTCTCAGTGTGCTGGCTCGAGGCCCATGTGCGTGTGTCTGTTTCATTTGTTGTCTTTGCTTTTCTTTCCTCTTCTCTTCTCTCTTCCACCTCATTCCAAACAGAACGTAGGCCACTTCTTTCTTTGTCTCCGTGTCTAGTCCTGACCACCTCGGCCTCCTCTCAACAGCTCTCTAAGTCTTCTCCATCTGTACTGCCAGCTACTGCTTTGGGCTCCAGGCTGGGCTGACTCGTAAGCAGGTGCCATGGAAAATTCGAAGTCCCCAAAGCCAGCCAGCATACCAGTCAAGATGGACTTTCATTTCCGAGACATGCCAGCAGAGCCCTGTTATGCCAGAGCCAGACAGGCAGCTGGAACCCCTGGTCATTCCCCTCCCTGAGCCCGAGCCCGAGCCTGAGCCTGGAGGGAGAGCCCCGCCGCCTGCGGGAATCTGACTCAGCCCTTCCCTGCTGCACAGGCAGTGAGAGCCAGCTCGGCTCCCGCAGAACTGCAGCAACCTGGGTGCTGGCTCATGAGCTTCGGTGTTCTTCTGAAGCCTTTGTTCCAGCATCTTCAAGAGCCAGACTGGGCTCTTCCGCCTCCCCTGTACCCACGTCAACACTTGCCAGGCCGACAATGAAAGGCTCTGGTGAGCCAGACAGTGAGTTCATGGAAAAGCAGGGGAGTTTGGAAGGGGAAATGGAGTCGTTAATGTTACGGTCTTTAACATGTCTAGAATGGGTTCCTAAAACGAAAATATTTGGCCCTTCTAAGACAGCCGCTCTGATCCAAGCCTCCCTGGGAGAGGCTTTGCCTGGCTAGGAGCCAACAGGGAAGGTGCAGAGGTGAAACCCCAGTGCCCTGGACTGTCACGACTCCAGCGTCTCCTCCGAAGCTCCATGGGCTGATGAAGCCCTGGGATTCATGTCTTTCGATAGGAACAGTCACAGTCCTTCATGTGCCTTTAAAAAAGAACATATCTGACAATGGTGGTTTGTATACCTGTCTCGCAGTCAGCATTTCCCTGTTCTTGAGGTCATCTGCATGGCTATCCTGGAATTTCTGTCCCGACCCTGGAGTGCTGGGCTCCAGAGATGCACAGGCTCTCCAGCTGCTCGATTTCCTTCCATGGAGAGCAGAGGAGCAGCTGTCCTGGAGAGGACGTGTTTATTCTCTAGCTTGGGATCCAAGAAGGAAGTGTCTCACTTACTAAAAACAAACTAACCAACTTGGCCTTGGAGAACCTTGGAGAAGAGTATAATCAAATTACTGATATCTTATCCAATTTGGGGGTTTTACTCAACCTGGAGGGAATATTGAACTTCTGTCTTTCACTTACTCTGACATAATTGATTCCCTCCCTCCCTCCCTCCCTTCTCTCTTCTCTCCCTCCTCCTTTCCTTCTTTTCTTCCTTCCTATGTGGAATGCTTAGCTTATGCTAGGCATTGTGCTGGGAGCTTACCATCTGAGGGGACAAACCCACAATGATGGCAAAACATGGCAAATATCATGACACATAACATTAACCACCACCTCCTGTGTACCTACTATGTTCTGGGCACTCACGTGCATCCTCCCGTTTACTCCCTGCCATGGGGTGGATGGCAGGCTGGCGCGAGTAGATGGGAGGCCTTGTAGTCATGCTGGAGAAGAATGTGATCCAGAGTGGAGCACGCCTGGCACTTAGTAGGTTCCCACTGAGTATTTGCTGAATGAGAGCCAGCACAGAGCCAGGTGACGGATGACAGCGCGGGGAGACTGAGGGAAAGAGACTCCTTGCTCTCTGTTTCTTTATAGTTGCACAGGATGATGGGCATTTTGGTTCTGGCTCACATCACTTTTCATTGTCTGGAACCTTGAGCTCCCTGGCGATGGAATCCATGTGCTGCATCCATTCAGCCAATATTTACTAGCACCAGCGTGTGGAAGCCTGGGGCGGGCCCAGGGGATGGAGCAGCGAGCAAACCACCTTAGCTGAGCTGTGGCGGGGGCTGGGGGGGGGGAAGAGTGCAACAGGGACACAGAATAATACATAAAAGGTCATGGTCAAGTTAGTCTATGAAGAAACAAAGTCAGTTAGGCGGGGAGTGGGGTGCTACCTCAAACATGGGGTTAGGAAAGGCCTATCGGAAGGAGGGACATGTGAGAAGGTCCCTGATGAGGGAGGGAGGGCAGGAGGTCCACACCATCCTGAGGAACAGAGTGAGAGGAAGCAGGTGGGAGGATGATGGGCAGAGCCCGAAAAACTAAATACATACAAATATATCTATGAAACAAACAAAGAAATTATAGCGTGGTTCCTGTCTTGAAACCTCAGGGACACGCGAGGGTGGTGGGTGCCTCCCACTGTGTCTCCCCCGAGGTTCTCTCATCCGTCCATCCTCATCTCATTTCCTTTACAAGCTCAATCACCTAAGAAGACCAAAGAAAGACCCCCCGTCAAGAAGATGACCATTTCCTTGAAGATCAATGACCCACTGGTCACTGAAGTCCGTACGTATACACTCGTCTATATTCTGAGAATGCCATGGAACAAATCGTCCTCCCAGATTTAAAAATGAAACAAGCAACAGCAAAGCAAAACAAACCGACAGTCCACAGTGTCCAGTGCTTTCTTCTTAGAAAGGCCTGAACATTCACAGAAAGAAGGGCTGAGGAGGCTAGGGTGACTCGGAGAAATGGAAGAGTGGAATACTACTAGAGAGGTTGTTGTCATGGAGAAAGAGTGTGAAGGATGCAGAGACTGGGAGGAAATAGCAGACTTCTCAGAGACGGACCCAGAACAAAAGGAATTGCCCTTCTAGGCTCACACCCACCCAGGGAAGCTGTGAGGCCCAGCCTTGCTCCCAAATAGCACTTGACACCCCCCGCAACCACCTCCCCTAACTTGGGCTCACTCCCTCCCCATCCCTTCGCAGCCACTCAGAGGCAGGCTTCTTTGTGCAACATGCGTGATGTCATGTGATGGCAGTTGTTTAGGAATCACTAGGTGAGGAAACTTCAGCACTAGTTGGGCCATTTGTTGCCAGAGGACACTGATGGCATGACAGCATGATTTGCGATCACGTGAGACTTGGAATCAGCCAGGTCCACCTGGCTCCTAGCCAAGGCAGTTCCGTTCCTGAAGCATCAAATTATTCTGGCTCTTTCTAAGAAGGCTTTAACCTTTTAGAAGTCCCCAGACTCTAAGGAGAATCTGCTGTCTCTGCAGCCTCCCAAAAAAGGCACTCAACATTCTGCACCTATTTGGGCAGTCACATTCCTGCACAGGCCACAGACCCCAGGTTAGAGAACCCCAAGATGGTCTCACCCCTGAGAGCAGGCTTAAGAGAGGGTCCTTTCAGAGCTCAGCTTTCTTTAGCTTCGCTCAGCTCCTTTGGAAAGGCTGGTAGCGCAGATCGTCAGCTTCCATGCGGTGCCTGCATCTGGGTCAGAGATGGTGCATTTTCTTTAAGGACCCCTCTGCCCTCCCAGCTGCAGGAGTGAGGGAGGGCCCCAGGTGGTGTCCTCTGTGCAGAGCCCCACGCTGATGGCCCTTTTGGCTGTGCTCCCCAGCCTTCGCCACGGCCCTGAAAAGCCTCTACATGAGTGAGGTGGAGATTCTCTTGGACAACGTGCTGGGGGTCCTGGCTTCCGCCCACATCCTCCAGTTCAATGGCCTGTTTCAAAGGTAAGGAAACAAGGCTGACTTCGGGTAGGGCCAGGCCTCGGGGAATCAGAAGGACAGTTCCTGGTCCATTGGGTAGAACATTCCTCTTCACTGGGCTAAGACATCTCAGGTGTCTCTATGCCAAGCATGGCCTTAAGCCTGAAAAGGAACGGAGACGCTAATTCCACTAGCAAGTAATTTTCACCAAACAATTCTCAATTCTCCACTCACAGGAACGAAATGCAAATGGGAGGATTTCTGCCATGGGGAGAGACTTTGTGCATATACGCAGTGACTTCCTAGTAGCCCTCAAGCCAGGCTTGCTTATCAATTTCACCTCTTTTCATTGTTGGCTAAAAAAAAAAAAAAAAAATCTCTCTCCTTTGAGTCATACACATACACAGAGGCTGGCCGTTGGAGGACAAGCTGACTTTTCCATCACTGTCAGTCCTCATTTTTCTGGCTCATTTGAGATAGTCTTGTTTTTTCTTGTAAATAGTATTTTTATTGTTATAAATGTTACATATTATAGCTCTTTTGGAAGAGAGGAAAATGCAAAGATCAAAGTTAAAATAGCCCCAAAATCACCCCTGCCCATTTGCGGCACAGCCTCTCTTTTGGACATTCAGACTCCGCTGGCCCACCTAGGCTGCCAAGCAGGGGGGTTCATCAGGGTGTGTCGAGGGTGTGGAGAAGAGGTGGCGGGGGACCAGGAGGCATTCAAAGGGAGTTGGCATTGAACATGAACATTTCCTCATCCTGACAAAGGTTGCCTGGTTTCATGGATGCAGAAATCATGAGCACGAGAGGGTAACAGACATTGCTTGGTGTTTCTGCCCGCACCCTGGAGGGGTGAGAGTCGGAGCTCCCAGTCTGCTTTTCCTAGGCTTTTCCTACAAAGTCAGAAGCAACCTGGGTCCATGCAGGGTCTGTGCTCAGTTCTGAAAAAGGTGCCCTTTAGTCTCTATGTACCTTGGCGGTCTCCGACATAAAATGTGGCTCAAACTATTTGTCCCATCTACTTCCCAGGACTTTGTTGGGGATTAGGCGATGGCATCACATAGGGCTTTGCGATGGAGTGTTTGTTTGCCTCTCAGTTCTCAGCTCTTGGCAGGGATGACATTTCATCTTCCCTGCAATCCTAGGAGGCAGGACTATTACAATGCTCATTTTACAGAGGAGAAAACTGGGCCTCGGGAGGTGAGTAACTTGCCCAAGGCTACATAGCGGCCAAATAGAGAAGCCAGGACTCGAAAGGCGAGGGGCCCTGGAACCTGCACATCTAACACTGTGCTATTCCACTTTGCAATTTGGGTGAGGTGGTAATGTCATCATTTGTGGTTCTGACCCTCCCTTCAATGGCATTTAGTCAGGAGGGGTTTGCTTAGGGTCGCTCACTTGTCAAGTTATTCACTCACACCTACACTCATTCATTCACCTGCTTCAAGGACAATTTCTTGGGCTTCTCTGGGTGGCCAAGGAGACAGTGAGGGACCAGATGGGCAGGATCCCTGCCCTCTAAAATCTCCTGTCCGGCAGTCTCCAAGATGTCGGAAGTGAATAAAGGTGGATGGAATGAAGTTCGGGAATTCCTAAATGGAAAGTGTTGTGCTATGTGTTCAAGTCAAATGAGTACCTGTAGTAAGAAGGAGCATTTCTTGGAACCTCCCCTCCTTTTTCGTATATCCCATAATATTCCTCCATACCGTGAATGCTTATGAAAGGGTAAGTGAACCAAGTGGAAAATCATTCATGGGATTCATTTCTTTTTTTTTTTTTTTTCTATTTTATCCTGCGTTGTGAATTTTTTTTTTTTTTTTGAGGGAAAAAGAGAAGAAGGGGAAAAAAAGAAAAAGAGGGAAAAAGGAATATTACTTCATTCCTAAAATGGGTTTCAATAATGGCCGATCAATATTTTGAGTGTTTAAAGTGGTTAATGCATATTTTATGTGTTTAAAATGGAGACCTCTATTGTGTTTATTTGTTCTGGCTCTGAGTTCAAGTCCTGGATATCATTATCAATTTGTTGTCTCGTTGAATCTAAATCTCATTATGTGTCTTATGTATCTGGGTGTTAAGATCTCTTATTGTTGCATTAATCCTTTTACCCTTGCATCCTTGTAGCTTTGAAATCTATTTTATTAAGTGTGAGAATTGCAACTCCTGCTATTTATTTATTTATTTTTGCTCTCCATTTGGTTGGTGAGTTTTTTCCCATCCCCTTGTTTTGAGTCTTTGTATATCTTTAGATACATCGTTAGATTTTGTGGATAATGTATATTTTGTGTGTTTAAAATGGAGAGCTCTATTGAGTTTATTTGTTCTGGATCTTAGTTCCAGTCCTGGATATCGTTATCAATTTTCTGTCTCGTTGAATCTAAATCTCATTATGGGTCTTATGTATCTGGGTGTTAAGATCTCTTATTATTACATTAATCCTTTTATCCTTGTATCCTTGTAGTTTGAAATCTATTTTGTCAAATGTGAAAATTGCAACTCCTGCTTTTTATTTATTTATTTTTGCTCTCCATTTGGTTGGTACATTTTTTTTTTCCAACCCTTTATTTTGAGTCTATGTACATCTTTGGATATACTGTTAGATTTTGTCTGTATCTTTTGATTGGGGGATTTGGTCGATTTAAATTTAGGGTTGCTGCCGTTTGATATTAACTGGCTATTTTGTCCTTTTGTTGATAAAAATTCTTCTTTATGTTAATGCTCTTTACTTTTTGGTGTATTTTTAGAAAGGGTCATACTGGTTGTTCCTTTCTGTGTATAATGCTTCTTTTAGAAGTTCTTGTAAAGCAGGCCTGGTGGTAATAAAATCTCTGAGTACTTGCTTGTTCCTAAAAAATTTTATTTTTCCTTCAAATGTAAAGCTTAAATTGGCAGGATATGAAATTCTGGGCTGAAAGTTCTGTTGATTAAGTGTATTGAATATTGGCCCCCACTCTCTTCTAGCTTGTAGGGTTTCCGTTGACAGATCTGCTGTAAGCCTAATAGGCTTACCTTTATGGGTAACTTGATCTTTCTCTCTGGCTGCCCTTAATATTTTCTCCTTCGTTTCGATCTTGGTGAATCTAACGATTATGTGCCTTGGGGTTGGTCTTCTTGAGGAATATCTTTGTGGTGTCCTCTGTATTGCCTGGGGTTGAATAGTGTCCTGCTTTGCTAAATTAGGAAAATTTTCCTGGATAATGTCCTGGAGAGTATTTTCCAGCTTGAATTCATTCTCTCCGTCACATTCATGTACACCAATCAAGTGTATATTAGTTCTTTTCACATAGTCCCATATTGCTTGGAGACTTTGCTCATTCCTTTTTATCCTTTTTTCTCTATTCTTGTCTTGTTTTGTTTCATTAAGTTGATCTTCGACCTCTGATACCCTTTCTTCTGCTTGATCCATTCGGCTGTTTAAGCTTGTACATATTTCACTAAGTTCTCGTGTTGTATTTTTCATAAGTTCATTTGTATTCCTCTCTATATTGTCTATTCTTTTCAACATTTCATCGAACCTTTTTTCCAAGTTCTTAGTTTCTTTACATTGGGTTAGAACAAGTTCTTTTAACTCCCAGAAGTTTCTTATCATCCACCTTTTGAAGCCTACTTCAGATAATGGAACACAGTCCTTTCCATCAGGGCTTGTTCCGTTACTGATGAGTCCTTTTCCATCAGGGCTTGTTCGGTTGCTGATGAGTCCTTTTCCATCAGGGCTTGTTCCGTTGCTGATGGGTTCTGATTTTGAGTATACTCGGCCTTCTTAGGCTGTTTTTTTTCCGTTCATTGTAGATGAACCGCCTTTCTAATTAGTTTTCTGAGTCGACGTCCGACTTATTGATTCCCAGTGCTGGGATCCGAGCAACCCACTGTGGCGGCCTAAATAGCAGCGATAAGACTGATGGTGCTCTTCTGCCCGGGAACCTCTGGTCTGGCTTCCCTCTTGAGTCCGCAACAAGCGGCTCTGACTTTCCGGAGCTCCAAACTCCGGTCAGTAGGGGAAGCGGTCCCGTTGGCTCTGCATGAAGAGCTGCTGCACCGAGACGCCGGCAAAACCGCTGCGGCGGCCACAAGAGGCGCTGGTGACCCGTGGGGCTCCTCCACTGGGAATCGGCTGATCAGTGAGTGACGAAAATTCGTCCAAAAGTGTGGCGTCGTCTCGTTCTCTGGGCTTTCACTGGGAGCTACAATCCTGAGCTGTTAGTGGTTGGCCATCTTGGATCCGGGATTCATTTCTCTAGAATGTTTTGTTTCTTCTTCCGGCGCTTTCAGGGATGTATGCCTACCGGCTTGACGTCCTGAAGACAGAGATGGTATCTCGTAGCTTTTTTTCCTGATTCCTGATGCAATTCAATATAAAGAAGAGATCAGGGCAGGAGATGGTCTGCCTGGTTTGTTTGCTTCTTAAACCTCAGGCTCTTTATCTGAGTGAATGAAGGAATGAATGAATATTCCATCTAAACCAAGAGAAGGCATTAGCTGCTCTGCAGAGGGAAGAGATGGATTTCTCCTGGGGATCTTACAGGTTTCAATTCCTTTTTTTGTGGAGTTCACACAGTGAGATTCAACCCCACAAACGTTTTTGAGCGGATGCCTCATTCTGGGAATCCTGAAATGACTGGGGCCGGGCCTTTAATCTGGAGCATCTGGTAGCGTTGTTGGGAGTGCAGGTGCCTGGACCTCTCTGCAGAGGACACACATTGAGGAGGGGCCTGGCGTCCTGAAGAGGCACTCCAGTGTGTTTGGTCAGACTGTGGGGTTAGGTGGCTGTGGCAGATGAGAGATGAGGAGTTACAGGCAGAGCCCACTGGTAGAGCCTCTTAGAGCCAGCTAAGGAATCTGGCCTTGACCTGAAGGTGGTGGGGTGAAAAGTCCAGCTTTCCCTGAGATTCCTCATGCCCCTTCCATGGTATGTATCACCCACTGTCAGCCCAGCATAGCCTTGTGATGTATAACTATGGAATCATAGCTCATTTACACAGAGAATTTCTGAGCAGCTATTTTCTGGTGTGGTCCAGGAAGGT